GAAAGGATGAGCATGCACCACGACTCGTTTTGAAAATGAGGCCAACGGTAATTCGGGAATAGGCTATTCAACTCCATTGCATTGTTATTATTCTCCCTGATGATGCTAGTTTGAATGATTGTTTTACAGAGTTCATTAGAGGGATTTACATGCTAATCACCAAAAGAGTCTTTCTTTCGGAAAATGGTTAAAAATTCATAGCACCTATCTTTCTTTAAAGTGTAAGAAGAAGAGGCCCTAGCAAAGATGGAAATGAATTACTAGGTACACGATTTTATTGAAAAAGAACATAGATATTCAGATGAAGACGTGTTTGACGCGTTTGAAAGTGGGGGATGGACCATGGTTCGAGCCATTAACTCTGGAGGAGGCAAAGGCTACGATGTTAAAGATTACTTAGCGAGTGTACACATCCTCTACACGTCATCGAAAGGTTACATCGATCGATTTTATTCAGGTTGTATTAATTATTTTAAAAGGCGTTCAGATTTAATTTGTACATTAGGGTGGAGTTTCAGGTAAGATTTGGACATAGGAAATGAGTTCCAGAAGTACAGGCTAATGTTTACTGCGGAAAGGGATTTCAATGTCCTTCCCTTACCATATGAGGAACCTCGACTTATACCATCAGGGATAATTTGAAGAGTGATGAAGAACCATGAATACTTGGCATGACAAGTCACCTCTTTCAAAACAAGCATGTTAATCTCCGTTACTGCCAATGAGAAAAGCTGAGACGTGTTAAGTATTCACCTCTCAGCAAATGACTTCATTTTGATAAAAGAAAAAATTGGTATCAAACAATATTTTTTCTGTATAGGCGTGCGTCGCTTATTTAGAGGGAAACAATGTGTTATCGTTAGCCATTCAGCAAAAATATCGAAGAGCTGTTGATCATCTCCTATTTCCTATACAAATAGAGTAATTATTGTTTTCTCTGACTGAGAGAAAATAGTTTATCTAACTTTCCAAAATATTGACATGAGTTGTTATTGATTTTGAGCAAGAAATACATTCTCCTGTCGTGATTTCCATGAGATAATAGAGAGATTTAGCACCGCGTTTACTTGAAACGTTAATGGCAAGAATGACCACGTGACTTTGTTTTTCCCGCCATTTCTTTACGTTTGCCGGTTGTGCCTTGCCGTTTCTGCGTGAAAGCAGCCTGTTTCGCTTTTGTCGTGTATGTAATATTTTCTTCACTTTTTCTCTCACAGAGTAGAAGTTAATTTCCGGAAAAAGGGCGCCAAAACTTTTCCGTGTTTTTAATAACAATACATGGACAGCTTAATCTTATTCTACGACTTTCTGGATGGGAATATCGTTACAATCTGATAGATTGTAACGAATTGTGCGATGCAGGTCTCGCCTTCCTTATGTTTCTTGGCGAAATTTGAGCCGACAGAGTGCGGCCGTATTTTAATTAGTTCGTGCATCAGATAACGCGCAGAGGGCGTCTTGAATATTAGATGCCACGGGGTCAGTAAGGAGAAACAATTGGCGTTGTTCGTTGCTTTTGCAGCCAGCTCCGTCCGATAATATATTGAAGCTTTTGAACCACTTTTGCCAATGGTGAGCGAGAGATTTTTGATCGTCTTGGGATCAAACGGCAGATTTAAAGCGGTATTTAACAGCCACGGGCTCAATAAATCCTCGTCGCCAGTGTAATAACGTGTAATAATAGTTTTCTTCCGATCGGTTTTTATCTTTAATGGCTGCCTATCCTTTTACACAACATCACAACACGACAGCACATGCTCGCTCTACGAATTTTACTCTCTGAGTTCGAAAAGCATGCTTTGCATACCATAGCATTTTGTCAACTATTGACTATTATAATGTCCTCTCATCTACTTTTATAACCCCTCTCCTGTGGGATCAAAATTCTAAAAAAAAATTACATTACACCTCCCTTTACCGAAATTTAACAAAAGAAATAAGCAGACCGTTGAAGCGACTTACTAAGTTTAATTCTTGAAATCTTGTTTTTAAATTAACAAAGATCCATGTAGCGACACTGGGAGGCAGTAACGTATTTGAGCGATCGAATATTAACATTCTCTCTTGCTAGATTATGATCACAGACAGCTTGAATCTTGCATCTTCATCGGCCGAAGTGTGTATGTTAGCACAGTTTTCAACACGATTCAAGTGAAAAATATTCTTGCAAATACGACTTTTTCAATAGTCAGCGGAACGGTATGGACAGGGGCGATAATGTAGCCACTATCAAAGACACTGGTGAAGCGGCGGAATCATTAAGCGCGCTGGTTATAATTTTTCACGGGTGTATATTTGCCTCATTAAAAGCCATTTTTCTCGTATTTCATGCTTGGTGGCGACAGCATATTAATGAACTTTCGGATCATAACTTAAGGGGAACAAGATAATCTGTATTTAGAACCGATTCCGCTTTCAATTCCCGTTATGAAGTTTTTTCAAAAGCTGTTGTTATTTCATTTTTTGTCCAAAGAGTGAAAGAATTCTGTCTTATTCTAAGATGCGCCAGCCAGCTGGATTTTGCTTTAGGAGCGGCTATTTACATGTTCGGCTCCATTGAGCACTCTTATTACTTTGGCCTGTTCTGAAGGTTTTACAAAAAAAGAAAAAATGCAATCTTACCAATTATTTGACAATCATCTCCAGTCCACGGATGTGTGCAGGAACATGAAAATGTTTCGTTTTTCTCATGAAACAAACAAGAACCGCCATTACGACAGCCTGTCATGAGACATCCCTAAAAATAACAAACATGTATGGTCG